CGTACGCCTGGGCTTTCCGAGCCCAGACGGAGGATTCTCGGGTGGTGTTCCGAAACCCGGGCATGGAGGACGACCCGAGCTGCGGGCCCATTATCGACGATATTGCGATCAAGAAGATGTTCGTGCCGGATAAGCCAAAAGGTTCGACCAATCATTTTTTCTTTTTGGAAAATTATTGTTGTTGTTGTTACCTTGGTGCAATTCTCATGGTAATAATATTGGTAAATAGCCTTATGAATTTGAAAAATATGAAATATAGTAACTTTTGGGTTAAGTATGAAATAGTCAATTTGCAGTACAATTACCTATAAACCATTTCTGGAATCCCATATTCTTAGCAACGAATTCTGATAGTAAGGATAATTGTATCATTTCATAGGGCAAAATGGTTATATGAATTTGAAATAGTTATATTTCATCAGAAATCAACATTGTGGCTATTTCATTTTGGAAAGTGAAAAAATACTAAAAAAAGTGAGATTGCTTCTCTTGTTTTACTTTGTGTGTTTATGTGATTATGGCTTGGTTTATGCTTCAAATCTAGTGTTTAGTTAACGAATTCAACATTCACGAACAAAAACTCGTTTAATTGTTCGCAATTCGCAATTCGCAAAAGTTCGATAATATTCGCAAACATCATTTCGAACTTGAATTTTTCTTGGTATCATTGAAATTTACACTACTTTTTTTCACAGACAACGCCGTACTAAACGGGGATTTCGAAGAAGGCCCGTGGATGTTCAGAAACGAGACCCTCGGCGTACTCCTCCCGACCAATTTCGACCATGACACATCCTCTCTCCCGGGCTGGATCGTCGAGTCCAACCGGGCCGTCCGCTACGTCGACTCGTACCATTTCAAAGTCCCCGGTGGCAAACGGGCTATTGAGCTCCTATCCGGTAAAGAGGGCATAATTTCCCAAATGGTCGGCACAAAGCCCAATAAGCCCTATCGGCTCACATTCTCATTGGGCCACGCGGGGGATGCTTGCAAACAGCCGCTAGCCGTCATGGCCTTTGCCGGGGACCAGGCTCGAAACATACATTACACGCCCGACTCGAACTCGACTTTTCAGACAGCGGACTTGAACTTCACGGCTAGGGCAGAAAGGACACGTGTCGCCTTCTACAGCATTTATTACAACACGAGAACGGACGACATGAGCTCGCTATGTGGGCCCGTTGTGGATGACGTGAGGGTCGAGCAGTCGGGCTCGGTTGGGTTCGGGCTTGGGGTTTTGGGCCTCCTGTTGATTTTGTTGTGCCAGTTGATGGTTTTGGTTTAGATGGTTAAAGAAGAATCAGGCCCAAATGCATAGCTCCCTTTTGTTAAAAATATGTTGTGTTTGGGCTTTTAAACGGCTTTGTGTTTGAAGTGGGGGAACCTTGTTTTGGGGGGCTAAATTAAGCAAGAGTTTTTAATTTTATGTTTCTTAATATTTTTAAGCATGTATTTATTTTATTTTATGAAGTAATGACATTAAGAATTTCATACAACTAGTGAAACACGAAATTACATGTCTACATGATACAAAACATGATCTAAAAAACCTCCAAATGTAAAATTTAGTATAATGCTTATAAAGATAAATGAGACAATGTGTGCGAACATGATCTGAAAAAGCTCCGAACAAATGCTTTAGTTAAATTTAGATTTAGTATAATGCTTATGATCAAATACAAAGAAAAAAAAAATAAAAACGAGATAATGAAACACGAACACGACAAGATAACACGATTTGTCTCTAATATTATATATTTTAGTATAGGACGTAAACGTGTGGGGTGGAGTTACAGGGCGAGTTGCCTACCATGCCCCGGCCCATGGCATCTATGGGTTGGTTCGACCCATGGGTCGGGGGCAAATTTGTCATTATAACTTTACTAGTATTCGACCTGTACATTTGCAAAGATGTAAATAAAGTATTATTAGTTATTTGTATGCATACAGTGATTAATAATTTTTCTTGCACTTTTGGTCGGCCAAATTTACATTCAAAAGAGCTGGAATATTTATTTTTTTAAATTGCGTTCATCATATTGGATGTAATGTATATTTTGGTATGTATTTTTTTTATGAATTATTTATTATTTATTTAGGAATTTAAAATATGTTTTTTATTTTTCAAAAGAAGTTAATTTAATTGTAACCACAATAATAACATCTAATCACGTTAAATAGTCAACACATTATATGGTCAGTTGTAACTAAATCAAAAGTTTAAAATTATTTTTGTATTTTGAAGTGATTAGTTTGTTGATTATCTAATAATTAAATGAGAGGTTAAATAAATAAAAAGTAACAGTTTTTGGAGGGAAAAGCTATATTGCCACATAGGTATAATTTAATAGGTTTAATTTAATGCTCATATGCTAGCAATTATATATATATAGATTATGGAAATGTATGAAGGAGAAAACAGTGGGAGTCAATTTGGGTGAACAACAAATTTGGTTCGAAATTCTGGTTTGGCGTTGATTTCTGACTAGTTTGGCTTCTATTTTCTTGAGCTCATTGATTTCGATTTTTCCTATATGGACCAAAAGGGCTGCCGTGTTTCCATACCAATATTGAATAACTTGTTCCCAACCATTAATTCATATCGTATTTTATGGTAGTGTTCTAGAAAAAATATTGGCAACAAGTAGTCCACATAAAAAGCTAATCAAATCAACTTTGCCATCAAGTTTGCTAATCAAATCAAGTTTGCCATAAAAAGCTAATATAGACTGTACTATTATACAGAAATAAGTGTAATTAGGTTGCCATTATTACTCCAATATAGACATCAATATATTGCACAAGTTTTCTCGTCCGCTACTCTATATTGAAATTGTTATAATATCACTTGTAAGTTGTCCTACATCGTTCATACATGGAAAATAGACTCACCTTATAAGTCTAATGGGTTACACTTCTCCTTCCACCAATTGGTTTTGGGATGGAACCCCCTTGGGCTTCATATGGGCTTTTCTCTCTCATGGTGCGCTTCATGTTAGTGGGACCGCACCCGTTCTCCCCCAGTTTTTTACAGAAATAAATCACCATATTAGAAAGCGCACCCGTTTTTTTCCAATTTCTTACAGAAATAAATCACCAAATTAGAAAAACAGGACCAATAGGCAATATGCAATATAGCTTAATTTAATATGCAAAATACTATTGTAAAAAAA